TATATATATATATATTTTTTTTTTTTTTCCAATTTAGCGTCATCAAATTAGGTAATATTAGGATTTATTTTTAAGATGCAGGGCTGTGTAATACAAAGAAACAGAATCATTTTATACCCGGTACAGAAGTGTTTTATTTGTATAAAAATATTCCATACTCAAGTTAACAGAGCTAATATTTCTAGTCTCAATGTTTATGATTGAAGGACGTTTTGCCCAGTAACTCTTAAAGACTTTGTTGCATAATCACGTGTGCAAACTAGAACCCTAAAACATTTGATATAGTCTAAAAGTTTCATGAATGTGAACTTTCTGTTAGTTTCTCACACCAAGACTCAACATTTGCTGCATCTGAACAACAAAACCTTCAAGTATTGCTGCGTGAAATGATGAAGTTCCATTTACTCCATTAGTAACCAGTTCATGTGACACAAGACTAAAACCTTTAATTCTAGTTGTGATATTGCCAATTTAAAATCACGCTAACTCTGATTTCAATTCTAAACCGTAATGGAAACATTTTTGGGTTTTGATGTTAAAAGTCACCTCTTTTGTTGGTTTGAGAAATTAACAGCATCAATATGGAGTGTTACAGAAACAGTACAAAACAAGATGGAATCCATGAGGTTCATTTCTCCCAGCTACCGACTTGAACGTCTTGCCTCATTCATGAAACACAAACACATTTGTGTGAAAAGTGTTCATAAAACCATTCGTGGCTCATTTACAAACACTGCTCAATGTTTCTAAAACTGCATTCGTTAAAAAGCCTCGAAATGGGTTTAAGGCTGGTTTAAGACAGATGAAAATTCACATATCGAGATTAATTAGTATGTCCCAAATACAACATTAAAAATCATACGTCAGAGGTGTTTGGATGGTACAACGGCGGAAAGCCTGAACCTTCATGACTAATAAGAATAAATGACATAGATTCATTATGTGTAACCTTTAAAAACAGGAAGCATCATAAATCACAACAGTCGTCATTAGCGCCACCTACAGTACATACAGATAACCGGCTGACCAAACCAGAATGAAATGGAAAATATTTACGATTTCTCTTAATATATACAAATGATGCTGGCTCCAATTTACAAAAACCTACAGCTAGATTCCCACCTTGAAGAACATTAAGATTAAGACAAGAATAATGAATGGTATTTAATAATATGTGCACTGAATAATGGCCACAATACCAGCAGGTAAGCTGGTGATCTAAACTATTAACTATAATCTAATATTTAGGAATTATTTCGACTTTAGATTGACCCTGGGATCATTGCTTTAATTACTTATGCTTAATTTCATTATGTTAAGAGTTTATGGAAGCCCGTTTCTGCCACTGAATAAAAAAAAAAAAAGGTAATTGCAACTTTTTATCTCACAATTCTGACTTTCTCACAATTGCGAGTTTATATTTCACAATTCTGGCTGTATAACTCACAATTGCAAGTTTATATCACACAATTCTGACGTTATATCTCGCAATTCAGAGAAAAAAAGTCAGAATTGCGAGATGTGAACTCGCAATTGCGGGAAAAAAAGTCAGAATTGTGAGATGAAAAATTCGCAATTACCTTTTTATTTTTTTATTCTGTGGCAGAAACATGCTTCCATAAGAACTTTACGTTACTCAGATTAAGAAAAAAGCACATCGCTGGATAAACCTGACGGCCTTCCGGTTCTGCTACTTATTAACGTTCAAAACCAAATAAAGGAGTGTTTGGGAATACAATGGAGATTTGGGACGTTTAAGACTCTAAAATCATTCTCTCGTTCGCTTTCATTCGTCCCAATAGCAGCCGCAGGTCTTGTTCAGCTGTTAACCAGAGTATGATCTCCTCTTATTATAGTTTTTAAAAAAGTTAGTAGTTCTTCCAAAAATAAAAATTCTGTCATCATTTACTCACCGAAAACTATCTGACTTAGACTTCTGGACTATTTCTTATGTAATAAAGAAGGTCGTTTAGGTTTAAAGGCGAGTGAATGATGACCGAACGTTCATTTTTGGTTAAATGAACCTTAAAAAAAAAATGGCGGAGGCTGGCTCACGTCGTTATGTTCAGTGCCGTCTTTCACAATGTGATTTTAGACAAAAGTAGCAACAACAAAAGGACAGTTCCCTGCATCTCGAACTGGTTTTGCTCTGAAAAACATCCTGTCGTTTGATGCCCCGTGAGTCTGTTGAGTTTCTGCAGCTTTAGGATCTAATGACGAGGACGTATCTTCAAAAGCATGGACGAGAGGCGTCTCTTAGAGCTCAGGCCGAGGCGTGACCTCTGAAAACAGAAGTCCTTCGGCGGAAATGGCGTCGCCCAATCCCACAGTCCTAAGCGGCTGTTTGCACACCAGGACCGGCGTGAGATGGAACGAAACGTTCCCTCTGCGCCACACGGTGACCGGTCGGGTCGGGTCCACCGTTAGGCTCTCCCTCGGCTCTGAGAAGGAGCTGTTGAAGTTCAGCGGTGCCTTGAGGACCACCTTCGTAACATCCACCGCTTGCAGGCCGCAGGCTTGACTGCTGGCCACACGGGCGCCCGCGGCCACCGCCGCCTCCTGGTTTCCCCAGTGGCCGTCCACCGTAGCCAGGATGTGGTACGCTAGCGTGTGGAAGTGGATCCGGGTCAGGTCGGCTTCGGATTCTGGGTCCGCCCGGCCGTGCTGCTCCAGGACCCAGAGCAGGATGTCGCTGACGCGGCCCACGTCGGGTATGCCGTCCCAGGAAGTGAGGTCAGCGTGAGGTCCACCTCCGGACTGAGTTAAAAACAGCAGCTCCTGTTCGTTCAGACCGATGGAGTTCACGATGGGCAAGACCTGCTAACAGAAGAGCACGGAGAAACCTGAAATGCTGTAGATGAAAACCGTTTCGTTCTGCTTTGATTTGCACTAGAATACTGGAGTTTCTTTTCTTTAAATGACTGATATATACAAAGGCTTCCTCATAAGATATGAGCAACTTTCCAGTAGTTTGTGATAAGGATTAATATATAATTTGCTTGATTATAGAGCTGGCACTCAAAAAGTGCAATTTTTTTGAATATCCAAAAAATTTTGAGTCTAAGATTTTTTAAATATTTTTGAAATAAGTCTATTCTGCTCACCAAAGCTGCATTTATTGATCAAAAATACAGTAAAAACAGCAATATTGTGAAATAATATTACGATTTAAAATAACTGTTTTCTATTTCTATTCATTGTAAAATATAATTTATTCCTGTGATGCAACGCTGAATTTTCAGCATCATTACTCCAGTCTTCAGTGTCACATGATCCTTCAGAAATCATTCTAACATACTCATTCACTGCTCAAGAAGCATTTCTTATTATTATCAGTATTGAAAACAGTTGTGCTGCTTCATATTTTTGTGGAAACGGTGATACATGTTATTTTTCCGGATTCTTTGATGAATAGAAAGTTCAAAAGAACAGCATTTATTTGAAATAGAAATCTTTTGTAACATTATAAAAATCTTTACTGTCACTTTTGATCAATGTAATTAATCCTTCCTGAATAAAAGTATTGATTAAAAAAAAAAAAAAAATCATACTGACCCCAAACTTTTGACTGGACTAACATATAATAACTAGAATGAATACTATTTATTTATTTATTTAAGAATGTAATCATTTCTATAATATTTCCAGGTCTGCAAATCGCTAAAATAAAATTGTAATTGTTTAAAAAAAAAGTATAAAAGTGTCACAAAAGAAGTACATTGGTATGGAAAAGTAGCATTTAAATAAAAGTAACATTGTAGCAATGAAAAACTATATGGTGTTACTTTCATAAGTAACATTTGCCAACACTATTGTATACCACCAACAACAATCCTTCCTTCATTAAACCTACACATTTACCTCCTGCAGGATCCGGTTCATGTAGTCTCTGTCTGTCATACTGGCCAGCTCAAGGTGGATGGGCACCTCGTTCCTCACGTCTGAGATGGCAACCACCGCCTGCAGGAAGTCAGAACACAGAGCTAATATGTAAGAAGCAGCAGTGAAGTGTCCAACAAACCTCAAAATATCTCCTTTACTCTGTCAGAACAGCATATACTACCTGTCAAAAGTTTCAGAACCATCCATTTTATTAATATGTAATTACACTGGCATTGAGCAACTCTGGATTAAGGGTTTTCTGGTCTCAGACCTCTTTCAGTCGTTCCTCCCAAAGATCCCGGCCCATTCCTTCCATCATATGCAGTCCGGACAGAACCACCAGATCCGGCTGGAACTCCTCCAGACTGGCCACAAATGTCTCCAGCGTGCTCATTTCACCGTTGGACACGTCATGGGACAGGATAAAGCGGTTAGCCTGAGGAGCTCTTGAGGAACCCCACTGTTCACCTGTAGGGGGCGTCAGAGAGGAAACGCTCAGAGACACAAAAACCCAACGGTACCAATGTGCCAGAACACGACTGGAGTACATCTTATAATATTCTGTTTCAAATGTGTGATGTTACAGAAATGAAATGATATGTGAGTGTGGTTTTGAGTGGGTCTCTCTCACCTGACTTGTACTCCAGGATGAGGTGGAACTCATCCATCTCCTGCAGAGATTCTGGTGGGACTATGATCTGTTCATCCAGCATATCATGAAGCTTTGGCCCCACCGGACCACATAAGAGGACCTGAGAGAAAACAGCACACTTTAGAAAACTATAATCAGGTATGAATATGCTGCTTTTGCACTCTTAAGAATGGAATTTTAGGACATTTTGACATATAAAACCATGACTCACTTTCATCATTAAAGAAATTCATCATTAAAGAACTTGGCCATCCAGGACAGAGATGGGCAGCTTCAGTCCTGGAGGGCCACTGTCTTGCAGAGTTTAGCTCCAACCCTAATCATACACACCTGAACAAGCTAATCAATGTCTTTAAGATCGCCAGAAAGCTACAGGCAGGTGAGTTTTTAACAGAGTTGGAGCTAAACTCTGCAGGACAGTGGCCCTCCAGGACCGAAGTTGCCCATCCCTGATCTAGGATGTAGAAGAGTTTGTTTCTTCATCAGATTTGGAGAAATGTAGCATTGCATCACTTGCTCACCAATGGATGTGAATGGGTGCCGTCAGAATGAGAGTCCAAACAGCTGATAAAAACATCACAATAGTCCACACCACTCCAGTCCATCAGTTAATGACTTGTGAAGTGAAAAGCTGCATGTTTGTAAGAAACAAATCCATCATTAAGACATTTTTTAACTTCAAACCATTGCTTCCTGCTAAAATTTGAGTCCTCTATCTATAATATTGCTTTCTTCAGTGAAAAAGTCATCTGGTCGGAAAGAAATATGCACTGATCAAACACCGTTTACAAGTCAAAACAGCTCTAAACAAATCTGCGAGTGGATTTTGATGTGAGAGGACAACAGGGGATGGAATTTTTCACTGGAGGAAGCGTTATTATGGATTGTTGATTAGTATTTTGGCCAACGGTTTGGCGATGGTTTAAGGTTAAAACACCTTAATGATGGATTTGTTTCTTACAAACACACACACACACACACTCTCTAGTCCATTAATTGATGGTCTGGAGTCATATGGATTGCTTGTGGTGTTTTTATCAGCTGTTTGGACTCTCATTCTGACGGCACCCATTCACTGCAGAGGATCCATTGGTGAGAAAGTGATGGAATGCTACATTTCTCCAAATCTGATGAAGAAACAAACTCATCTACATCTTGGACAGCCTGAGGGTGAGTACATGTTCAGCACACTTTAATTTTCATTGGGCTGAACTGTTCCTTTAAGCATCTAGTGAAGCCAAGGTGTAAGCTTGTAACAGATACTTACTACAAGTTCTGGGTTAGACGCCAGTTTCTGGCCAATAAGAGCAGCATTTCCACCCACATAAAGCTGCAAGAAACAAGAAAAAAGCAGTTTTTATTGAAATTAAAATGTGCAGGATCGATTACAAGTGTGTTTTGGAGCAAATGATTCTGTTATGTGACTCATGATATTTTTTAAAAAGACTTCTCCTCTGACAATTTCTGATTTTCTATCAAATTTACGATTGAAAGAACTTTTTTCCAGATTTTCTATAATGTTATAAGAAAAAATAGTGTTACATTATTGCATATAATTTTCATGAAAATTTGCGTATAATAAAATGCATATAATTTGTCGTGAAAATAGCCTGTCATAAGACTCATGGTCCAGCCACTGCGCCTTTTAATTACTGCTGATTATGCCAAATTATATTTGACACAGAAACTCAATTCCCCTCCGGACCCTCTCGTGCATTCAAATTAAACTGTCGGATCTCAAGGGCCAGATCCATTTACAGCACATGCCAAAATTAAACTAGATATTATAGGACATATGCAGAATCAGTGCTGTATGGATGTCTGAATGGAGAGGCCTGAATCAGAGCAGTCAAACCTGTTGGGACAGGTTTTAGTGTGCTCAGGGACCAGCTAATCTCTGTCCAATCACTTTCTATTCGTGTCCTGAGGGAAAACAATGTGGTACAGACCACAAAACCCACTCCTACTGTCATAAAAGGCTTTATCTCGCACCTGAGCGCCGGGATATTCTGCAGCCGCCCGTGCGATCCTTTGAAAAACCTCCTTATCTGAGAAGAAGCGCTCTGCAGCGGCACCCTTCCCCATGTAGTGGATGAAGGCCTCTTTCAGGTCCTCTTTGCTGTGTAGCACCTCGTGGTCTCTGCCGGATCCGGGTTCGAGAGCGAGCGCCTGCAGCAGCCCCACCCCGGACACCACCACATCCACACAGGCGTTCACCCTGACAGAGGAAACAAAGGCATGATGGGAAGGGCTCTAGAACAAACAAACCTGCTGCGTGTGGGAGCTAATGTGGCCCCAAATGTGAACAGAACATTGATTAGATGAATGAATTAACGAAAGCATCAAAAAATGAATGAATTAATGAAGAAACAAATTAATACATGAATGAATAAACAAGTAGAAACATGGTTTATTTGTTTGTTTAACTGATTAAACAGGAAATGAAAATAATTGACAAAAGAAAAAAGTAGCTTTGCTACAAATCGTAACGAATCAGCCACAAGTTATACATATGAAATAAAACAGAAAATAATATATAAATATTAAAAACAGTAAATAATAGTAAACAATGAAATTACTAAAACTGGAAAAAAAAACTAAAAGCCCCAACGCCAACAGCGCCACCAGCACGGCCTTCCTCCACATGACCTCGACACACACACACGGCCTGTGAACACACACACTCATCATGGGCTCTGACTGGGGCCTTTATTTAATGGCTTTTTTGGCAATGTACCATGTATCATGGCAAAACCATGTTTTTGGACATGTAACATGGTTATTCCATATTTTTTTGACATGTAACATTGCAATACAATGTTTTCTGTTCATGTAACATGGTGAACCCATGTTTTTTGAACATGCATCATGGTAAATCCATGCTTTTGTGGACATGTAACATGGTAAAATCATGTTTTTTCAACATGTATCATGGTAATATGTTTATGGACATGCACTATGGTAATACCATGTTTTTCGACACCTAACATGTGCATGTCCAAAAATCATGATATTTCCATGATACAATAGTAATACCATGCTTTTGGACATGTATCATGGTAAGACTACGTTTCTGGATTTGTATCATGGTATAACTTTTTATTTTATTTTATCAGTGTAATTGCATTTTTTTGGGCTTACTGTGGTTTTCATGACAGTGGACATGTACCATAGTAATACCATGCTGTTTTGGGCACTGTGAACATGTCACAGGAAGTAGACTTTATATTTACCACTGAAATCAATGCTTATCTATTTATAACACTAGAGTAAGCAGTGCACGATCACAGATCTCTCTCCATATATATCATCTCTGTTTGACAGGTTCATTAGACTGAAAGCTGATCATTATGCAACTTAAATCCATAATACAATAACATCAGTAGCAGGCTAGTGCTAACAGCCCATTTCTGCCCATGTTCGGGACTTGAAATCAACGCGACAAATAAAATCCCACACCTGACCGTGATCACCTAGTGCAAAATGGTATTGTAGCTAAAATGACATTTATGGTTAGTAAGTAACATGTTTCAGTGAAATCAATGAGCTAACATGAGCTTAGCCACATGGCCAATAAACCACCAGTTTACACAGCAATAAACAGGACAATCACTTTATCTTTAAGATAATATAATCGAAACTCACTTCAACGATGCGAACAGATGGGCAGATCACTAACCTGACAGATGATAATCGCAGACGACACGAAAGAGAGTGTGTATGTGGTGAAGTTGAGTTGTGTCACCCTTCTTGGTTGAGGGGAAGTCTAGCGACTAGCCGGTCCACTCTGTCCTCACGCCAACCGATAGTATTAAAATCGAATCTTATTGAGCTCGGAGATAATATTACCAATAAAATTAAACAAAGAGCTAATTTATGTTACAAAATGCAAAAGTTAATTTAATTGAGCTCACAAATGCATGCTATTGTCAGTGTTTAACGCTTTAAACAGTTTTTGTTGGCTTTAGGGAATCTGGCTAACTGCAGCTAAAGCGAACCAAAGTAACCAATCAGAGGCTCCGCCGAGCATCACTGACGTAACCGGAACATCACGTTGAGTGGATGTACTGACGCAAGGTGAAAATATCTACCCGGCGCCACGTCTAAAATTTGCTCAGCAAATTTTTTATTTTTAACTGCTTTTACTATTTGTTTAATCTTGACCCGATCTACAACATTATCTTTAGTGAGGCTAATCAGAGTTTGTGTAGCAATTAAACTTGCTGCATCCGAATGGATCTTTTTTGTCAATATGTAATTACAAGTAGAGTTTTTTTTTTCAACTTCCAAATGTATATATTTTACTGTGAACCCCAGAGACACAAACTCATTTACCTGATATGGATTTTGGATGGCAATGCAGCAGTTTATAAAATAAACAAGAACACAGTCAGCAAATACTAACACTATTACATCAGTTTCTTTCAGAGCAGTTCACTACAGTGCTGGATTCTCATCAGCATTTCTTAAAAAAAAGTACAGTGGCAGTACCATGGTTCCTTAGACATAGTACTATAGAAATGCCATATTTTCAGGGCATTTTACTATGGTAACACAATGTTTGTACAACAAATATGAAAATAGCATCAAGAAGGAGTTCTCATGTTGGTCAGCAGGTGGCGGTATTTACCCTCTAGTGACTGAATTAAAGAGCAAAGCAGCTGCTAATGTTTAATTTAGCCTAATTCCTCTTGACATAAATACATTTGGAGTGGATTATTAGATTTATACAGCTAGAACTCTACGTATGATGACCTCTTACAATGATACCATCGTTGTAATAAATATCTTTACCAATAAATCCACTAAGTGATCGATAAAAATCTTATTGAGTGGCTGTTGGCGCACGATTTGTGTTCGTTGAAAAAAGGATAGCCACACAATAATGTGTATATCTACATAGACTGGCGTAGATATATGAAAATATGGCATTTCTATAGTACTACGTCTAAGGAACCATGGTACTGCCACTGTACTTTTTTTTAAGAATATATATGACGTAAATAACAATTTGTGAATTTATTTATTTATTTTTATCGGTATTTATAAGTTTATTTTAGAAAAAAATAAATAAAACAAGGTAATACGTCAGGTTCGCCGGCCTTCGGTGGTAACCATAGCAACACCTGCGCGTCCGTTAGAATCGATTTCGTACATTAACGTTACATCGACAAAACAAAGGTACTGTCAATTTTAACAGTTTATTATGTACACATGACAAAATAATCATATATTACAAGTGTATCATTAAAAACGATAGTGTTTTATTTAAAAAATCAAGGTCAACTCAATATTTTACGGACAGTTTCGTGAGGTGAATTTGAACAGATTGAGCGCCAAAACTCTCCTACAAAAATTATCCCTTAGAAAATTGTGTAAGGCATAAACTGGTTGTTGGTTTAGACTACAGGTAGATAAAAACATTTTGTCAGTGGTTCTCTTTAGGGAATGAATTTGAGAGGCACTTATGAAGCGACACAGAGGAGCAAAACGCTTTTAAAAGTGGCTTCCCGCTCTCTGCAAATGGGGAAGGCAAGACATTGAGAATAACTCGTGTAAACAAGGCTTTTAGCTCTTGTGAAGATGGAATACATGTGCATTTTTAAAGCAGTTATCTAAATCTGATAACTACCCTTACCAAAAAGTAGTATACTTCAAGTTTATTTTATTAAGTATACTTAAGTAAAGTTCAAGTATATTTTTAAGTATACTTTATGTAACAAGTATACAAATATCAGCGTACTAGTAGTATACTTGTAAGTGTACTATTTCAATACTCCTTGGGACTAAATTGGCCCACTTTCTAGTATATAAAAGTATACTTTAAGTATAACAGTAGTAAACTTTGAGTACACAACTAGTTTACATCAATATTTT